AACCTGCACATGCCGGCACACCTTCAAAAGGGCTTGATTTTTGTGGGGGTCTGATCCCTCGCCAAGCTTCGACTCAGACTTATTACTTTGCTGCACAAGCAGGGCGTTGCTGACAATGAATGGCTTCCGGTTTATCATAGGTTTGGCACTCCTCGTCATGTTTTTTTTTGCCTCAGCCTCGCAATCCTTCAGCGGGCAGCGTATGTGTCTCTCTGGAGTAGCATCATCGCTGTCGTGGCGCAGCGAACCCTGGCTAACTGTTTGCTCGAGCTGCCGGCGTGCCGGCTGTGCATGAGGTCCTGCCGGACGAACTCTCGGCGAGGACCTAGGGCCCCCGGCACCGAATCGTCCAGCAGCGAAGCTCACGTGTCACAGGAAAAATTGCGTCATTCCAGTCCCAGTCACGAAAAAGAGGGCCAGCAAGCACAACCATGGGAATTTTCGCAGACTTCACCTGGCACTTGCGTGGCTGAAGAACTCCTGTTCCCCTGCTTTTGCCAGGAAAGGGGCCGCAGAACTCGGCTCAGGTGGATCGGTTTTTTGGCGTCCAGGGCGCCTGAGGACGGTCGTGAATTCTCCCCTACCAGTTGGAGCAGCACTTTCCAGCTCTAGCATCATTATCAGTAGTCTCACCGCTGCCACCGGATTTTGAATGCCCGTCAGTTGTGACTGAATTGCCTGGTTGTCCCCTGCAAGAACCGCTGCCATTGACAAACGAGAAGCTGAATGCTTGCTTGCAAGGCTCCTGAGTCATTTGTTCCTGCCTCCCGTTCGCTGTCGCCGAAGCTGCGCCCGGTCCTGGATTCGCAGCTTCACCCATGCGGATCCCGACTCATATCATCCTGGCACCGATAAGGCTCGCTCAGGATCCATACAACACCGGTGCTCGGGATCGCCTTGCTCTTTGTTCCCGAGAGCCCGGGACATGTCGATTCGGTGTGCCCCGTGGAAAGCAACGACTTGCTCCAGGATCTCCGTGAAGGCGGTCTTCACCGAGGTGGTTGCTGCGGAACAGGGGGATGCGGAGCCCACTGTCTTCACGCATGTTCAATGAAGGCAGGCATGGAAGGGGGGTCTAGCGATGCACACTGCCGAAGGACATTCGTGAGCGGCTCGAAGAGTGCAGGCGGGCTGGCTCTGAGGCTGTGGCATGCTGTGGCCGTGGCCGTTAGCCGACAGGGAGGGCGACTTGGACCTCGACCTCGAGCCTCCTGCCCAGGTCCTCGGCGGCCCCTTGGAGGCACCGAAGCAGCGCAAGGCCAAGCTGGGATGGGCGTGTCCCGAGTGTGGATGAGCACTGGCAAGGTCGAGTTCTGGGTGGCTGGGTGCGAAGGAAGCAGAAACACGTACGACAAATTTTACCCTGACCTCAAGGCGGAGCTCAACTTCAAAACCAACCTCTTGTTTTGGTGCCCTACGAGAGCGACACTTGTCTTTGGCACGGTGCCCGGTAGCAGGCTGCGGACTGGGCATCCTTGCCGCTGAGACGGATCCGGATGGTCGTCCTCGTGCTCGCAGGTATCCTGCCGACTATGTCAACCCGGACGAGTCCCGCTGTGGGAGGTGCCAAGAAGGCCACGGCAACGAAGCTTGCGTGTGGCTAAGGAAATGCACCAACTCGAGGCTGGCAAGGCTGGCGACCACGACGTCTTGCGTCAAATTTCCCGCGGTGGCGACACGGTGCTGGGCAACAAGGGCAATGTTCGCAAATTCTGCACTCGGGCGTTGTGGAAACGCTGCAAACGACTGGCAAACAAGCCCAGCAAGAAACACTCAGCGGGGGGCAAAACGGCCTGCGTTGATCGCTCGGCTCACGGCGGCCTCGACAGCCATGGCGGGCTGGACGGCCTCGTGAAGCGCGACGTTGAGTATACCTGCTCGCGCTCTTTGCGGAGGACGCGGGCACCGAGCACAACCTCACGGCGACAGCGTGGCCCCTGGGCAAAACTTCGTGGTGCGCTTCGCGTTTTTGTGGCTGCGGCGGTGTCTGGAAGAAGCTTCGCGGCGCGGTGGGCAAGAGGTGCCCAGTGCCAGGCTTGCAGATGACGGGCAACCCACGGCAAGGTCAAGGAGCTCAACCCGGTCATCGATGCCTGGCACTCCAACGAAGGCGGCGAAGAACATCTTGAGTCTTCGGCGACAAAGGCGGGGTGGGCCTTGACCGGCTGAATCTGGCGAGGCTTGGGGCATCGTGCTTATAACTACTGACAATGACACGACCCTTTCTTTGAGTGGGCACTTGCAACATCCGCTCCGTCACTGGGAACATGGGCGCTGTCATGGATTTGGCGGCGAATGCAGGCATCAATGCGCTTTGTTTGCTCGGCAAGGCTGACGGGGGGCTTTTACAAAAGGGGGCCTTGTCGGGACTCGGGTTGGCCGACAAGTACAACAGGGTTGGTGAAGTCGGACATCTACCAGCAGAAGGTCAAAACGATCGAGGCGGCTGTTTAAAGGGGATGTCTTGCCATTGCATATGCGGTAGGCGTTGAAACACAAATGCGTGGAGAAGGCTGCTTTTTGGTTCACAAACAGCAACACCGCAAGACGTCTCGGTGACTTGGGACAGAAGATTGCCAGTGTGTCCAGCAGCCAGGCCAAGCGTGACAAAAGCATAGCCGCCATGACTGGCCAGAAAGAAAGACATGAATGTGAATCCTTTTGTGACGAATCTCGCGAGTGCTCGGGGATTCAGAACGCAGCTCGGTAAAGCTACATCCTTTGTGGTAGACAGTACTGGGCAGCAACGAGAGGACTGGAGATAGTTGTAAGGGAATGTCCTGTCTCAGTAGATGCACAGTTCGGCACTCTAGCTGCCTGCAAAGGCAGAATGCATCGGTGAACTGTTTTGCTGCAAAGGACGTCCGTGGGTTTTTGCCGGAAAATGTGGGGATTTAAAATTCCTGCATAGCGCAAAACCATGCAAAACCGCTTTGCGGGAAAATGCGGGGATTTGCGAGGAATTGTAAAATTCAAACTCAGTTTGTTGGCACATTTTGCGTGGGGATTCGCAAACACATCGCAAAATTTGTGATGTGTTTCCGGTGCGACGCAATCTGTGAATCTAAGTTGTCTATCATGGCTATAATTTGACGAAGTTAGACCGTCGCACTGTACATGTTTTGCCTCAATGAGCAAAGGCAAAACGAAACAGCTCAGTCCATTTTACTGCCGCGAGGCTACAGCTCGACCGGACAAACTCTACCGGGAAATGCGTTGAGCTTCTGGTCATGGACCGTGTATACTGTTTTTCTGGTGGAAAGCCGTTGCAACGACAGCATGACTGCACACGCCCACAGCGATGCAGCAGGAAATATTGCACGCCAGATATTATACTGCTTGCTGCCCGGCTTACCAGGCCATGTTTTGTACGCAAGCTTTCTAACTTTGAAGCAGTTCTGTCCCGTGCCAGCAATGTCATCGTCTCGAGCTGGCTACAGCTTCCCGCAACGGCGAAGCTTCGTTTCTTTGATTGATGTGCG